CTTCAATCATCACAAAGGCACCGGGCTTCCACAGTCAGAAATCAGAAGGGTTCTTCTCTCCTGTCAATCACCAGTTGTATAAACGTAGGTACATCACTTAACCTTTCTAAGCTGCAGTATCAACTCCTGAAATAAATTTAACACCTGTTCTTTCTACCTCCTGAAATTCTTTTCATGAAAACAAAAGAAGCTATATTTACTGAAGTGCTTTGAAAATACCAAAATGCCATGTAAGCTGTACTATAAGTGTTATTATATCTAAGCGCTTACTTTTTTCCATCAAATAAGAAGTAGACCATTTAAAAGAGAAATATAAAATACAAAGAAATAATTACTCAAAGGTCTTTGCCTAGCATCGATTAAAACAGGCATTTGAGAAATCTAACACAAGAAGTTTGGCACTTATAAATCCTAGGTTATTTTCATTATGCTATTAAAGAACATCAACTTTTTATCATACAAGGAGATAACAGAAAGCCAGTATATATTTCTATCATCTCCTACCAAGTGTTGCAGGAACTAAGTTCTGGACAATCAGGCTGCCTGAGAGGTATTGATAGACGTGACATTTATTACTTCAGCTTTCTCTGATCAATAGCAGTCAAAATCCTACTATAGAAATTATTCCTTGGACAATGTTAGATTCTGTGATAGGATATGTAAATCTTAACATCACAAGTCTTAAAAGCAGAATGCTATAGCTTAGGCTAGCAAAATGGACAATATACTTAGCATCCAATCAAGTTTCTTTATTTGGGGTGCTTACTCTAAAAATTAAAACATGCAAATATAACTTACTAACATTTAAACTTATTCAGTGTTTTTACTGATCTCTAAACAAAGATCTTTAACTCTGATGACTCCTTCCCAATATATATGCTATTTTGTCATGCATTTTGGTTTTAACTTGATTGTTTTTGTTTTTAATGATTGCTATTATCTTATACGGTCAATGATTATTTATAATTATTCATATTTTCTTTTTGTTTGGTTTTTTAATTAATTAATTTTTGTTACAGATGTTTCTTCTTTTTTCCCATTGACACCCTTCTCCCCATCCCCCTCATGTTTTCTTTGATCATCATTCCTTCTTGCTACCCAGAGCTTCCATCTGAATCATATTCATTCTGCCTGAAGTCAACCTACAGAACTAATTTTCTTATTGAGGCAAACTCTGTTGGTTCTTTGTCTTTGTTCAATTTTGGTCACCTTACTTTTGAAATATATTTTCTCTGGGAATAGAATTTTAGATGATAATTATTTTCTGTTAGCTCACTATAATATTCACTTTACTGTCTTCTGGTTCTTTTTGTTGCCAATAAAGAGCCAGCTATAAGTCTAAGTGTAAGTACAGTATCTTAAAGGTAATCTGTTCTTTCTTCTCTGGTTGCTTTCAAATATATCTCTTAGTTTTCTACATTCTCCAGATTGACTATAATGCGATTAGGTGTGTTTTTGTGGATATTTTTAACATTTATTCTGTTTGGGGTAAATGAGCTTCTTTAATCTATGGCTTGCTATCTTTCATAAACTCTAAACAATTCTTATCCATTATCTTTTCAAACAATGCATCTTTTCTATTATCACTCTCCTCTTCTTCTGAAACACCAATTCAACATGTGTTGGATGAATCTACTCCATCCTCTATACCTCTTACCCCGACTTTCACATTTTCCATTCCAGTGCCTTCTCTGTGCTATAGTTCAGATAACTTCTACAGATCTATTCTCCAGTTCTCTAACTCTATCTTCAAACAGGTCTCATATGCTTAAATGTATCTTCTTTCCTAGAAGTAATTTTTTTCCAAATCCTCAGAGTCTGCCTTTTGCTTTTTATTCAATACCTTGATGTTTTTCTTTAATTTCTTCAAAAATATACATTGTGATTCCATTATCTGAAGTCTTGGTCCATTTGATTCTTCAGTCTTCTTTCTTTTTTTCTCACTTATAGTATATTGTTTCCTCTCATGTGCTATAATTTTTTTCTATAACTTTATGTTTCTTGAATCTCTTACCTGTGAAAATTTACTAAGACCTAATATAAAGTTGGAATTTTTTCAGAAAAGATATGTATTTTCTTCTGCCAGGTGATACAGACTCTACCTACCACAAACTCTAGTTTTGAAAAATATTCTTTTTTTAGATTTATCTTTATGATTGACAGTATTACAGATGTCCTCTCTTTTTTCCCCCACTGGGCCCCTCCACCCAGCTCCCACCCCCCTCCAGGCCTTCACTGCACTATTGTCTGTGTCCATGGGTTATTCATATATGCATATATGTTCTTTGGTTAATCTCTTCCTGCTGCCCCCCTCCCCTCCCTCTGAGGTACATTAGTCTATTCCATGCTTTCATGTCTCTGGATCTATTTTGTTCATCAGTTTATTTTGTTCATTAGATTCCACATTTAAGTGAGGTTATATATTCTTAACATGTTTTTTGTTTTGTTTTTTAACCACCCAAATAGTGTGACTTGTGGGCTGCAAACCCAACTGATAACTTGTTTTAATTTTGCATTAGCAGAGATATTTCCCCCTTTACTCAGTGTCAAGCTTCAAGACAGTAATTTTGTTTTCAGTTTCCTGGAATTTGGGGTTAGAAAACTTATTTTGAGTTCACTTTTACATTGGGTATGTAGCCACTTGAAGTTCTATATTTACATAAGGGTGTCTTGAATATTGATCCTCCACACTGGATAGGCTTATGTCTTTGTTTCATTTTCTTCATAAGCAAAGAGGAGGACCTCCCCAAGTCCCCACATCCTATATAATCACCTTCAGGGCTTAGGATTTCAGCATATAAATTTTGAAGAACACAAACATTTAGTCTTTAGCAATGAGGGAAATTTTTCCCAGTAGTGTCATGGGCTGAAGTGGGAAACAAACGTGAAGGGAAGACAAGCCAGTGAGAAGAATCCAGATAAGAGTGACGACAACAAAATGCAGTTTGGCATCCAGCTTACAGGAAGATAGAAGTAAAACTGTAATGTATAAGCCAAAAGCATTGATAGAATACTAGAATTAAAATTCACAAGGTATCGCTATAGAATTCCCTAATGCCATCTAGAATTCAAAACCATCTTATAGCTCTAGTTTTCCTGAAGCTGCTGTTTAGAGTTTCCCTTGTCAATCTCTACATTCGTGTGTCCTTATAGGAAATCTCCTTACTTGAAATAGTTTGAGCATATCTCTCTACAATCTACCTACTTTGTAAACTAAAATGCTTGTTAGGCTCATCTATAGAGAAGCATTACCATCATATAATTATTTATAATCACTAAAATGCTTAAATAGTTGTTAATAAATTGGATCATAACAAATTCCTGATATTTGACTTTTTTTTTTTTTACCTACAAACCTGACAATTCTACCCAATAATATAAAATCTCCTTAAGAGCAAAGCTTTGTCTGTTTTGTGTCCTATTCTATCTCCAGGATCCGGAAAAATTCTGTTAAGGGCTCTCAATATATATTTGATCAATGCATGAATTAATTAATAATGAGCCAATTCTGCTTTGTGGCTATTGTAAACCTAATATCTTTCTTCCCTAATAGAAGAGCTCTCATTTGAGGGAGAGAGTTTGAGGCACAGAAATGTGTCCAGCGAAAGTTCCCAGCTCCCCAGTCACCTTTGTATCAAGCAAAAGCCTATCGAGAGTTTAGCTAAGCTACTGAATGGTATTGCTGCCTCAGCATCCATTCTGTTTGGCCAAGCAGCCTGTAGGGACCCTAAATGGACACCAGCCCTCTCATGAAAGCTCATGCTCTAGGTACCGGCCCAGAGTCACAAGCAAACATATGATCCTCATATAACTTTCCCAAGAGCCCTTGTGAGCACAGTTTCCCCCACTTTCCAGTGCCTATATGCTTAAAGGTCTTCTTAGATAAGACCACCCATACATCTTAACAAAACCCCATTCTTTTGGTTTGAACTGACCAATCTGGCCCTAGCCCAGAAACCCTAAAGCACTCCCCCTGTGGATCCTAATAAAGGCATATGCCCCAGGTCCTGTCTCTATCTACACTCTGCCTTTACCTCTCTATGTGACCCCTTGAAGCATGCCATGTACTTCCTCCAGGACCTGTGAGTAACAAACTTCTCTATTTCAGTTTCTCTTGTGATCTATTTTTGAGCCACAACTCATAATCTGACACCCTCTGCTCCACTGAACAAATGTTAATGTCATAAAGTCATAGCAAAGCCTCATGATACTATTTTAGCAAAGAGTTAGTTATACATGGAAGTTATTCAGTGGTGCCTCCAGGAAAACTTTTTAAAAGATACCAACTTGTAGGTATGTTTTACCATTTGTTCTTCTCTCTTCCTTAAGACAAGGCCTAGAGATAGAGCAGCCAGACATGTCTATGAGGCAACGAACACAGTAACAGCACACTTCATATACAGAATATTGGAATAGAAACACAGAAAGAGCTTGGGTGTCTGGTACCATTGCTGAGCCACCAAATCAATCCTGGACTAGCTATCTTAAGACTTCTAGTTTTGTGAGACAAGGCCTAATACTTAGAGAAGAATAAGGCCCTCTAAACAAAGACTTGCACATATAATCAGAAGACCTAAATTATTATACCCATTACAACTGCAGAATCATTTAAAACATGGTGAGAGCAGCATCAAATAAACCTTAGAATTGTGTTTATATTCCATTTCTATTATATAATGACTAAAGTACATGTTGTATAGAAATTAAACTATGTTGTTTCAGAAAACTACATCTTCATGGCCTTTGCTCTTTTTATAAAATTGCATTATTTCCTTGATAGATGATACATACAAATGGTCAAAATGAAAAAGATGTAAGAGACTTTACAGTGAAAATTAACTCCCTCTGCTTCCCACTTCCCTGTCCAGAATCAAGCATTGTTACCAGTTTCTTTTCTTCTCCTTCTTCTTTTCCTCCTCCTCCTGCTCTTCTTCCTCCTCCTTCTTCTTCCTATTTTGTGTGTGTGCTGCTGTTGCTGTTTGTTGTTTGTTTGTTTTTCACATCAGACAAGCCATGTGCCAATGTTGTAACGAGGTATGACAGAGGCACATCTCAAAGAGGAGCAGGAACACCCAATCATCATGCTTACAAACTACAAAAGGATCACCGGTTTCTTGAGCAGCCTTCTCCAGAGCTAATCCTTGAATTTACAAACATGTGTATGAAAGAGTTTCAAGAAGAGAAGAGTGAAAAGTGGCAGTCCTGCCCAGAGACTGAAGAAGATGATGACAGAAGAACTTTGGAAACATGGAAAGTCACTGGCCACTCTGACAAGTTTCAACACAGGCAGACATCAGATGAGAGTGTGTTGAAAAAAGCACAGAGCAGCTTCTTTAACTTGCTTGGATTAAGTAATAAACTGAAAACTCACATTTACCATATATAGTTCCATTAGACTTTTAATAGCAACACATCATTATGAACTTAAATAATTAGTAAATCATTTTAAGCAAGTTCATTAAGCTTTTCCACAAAGGGCAAATCAAGAAATTACACTTAGAATGTCAATAGGCTTGGGAGAAAAATAATTAACATTCAAGAGATTAAAAAATTAAAATGGACATTTCTTTTCTAACCAGTAATAATGAACATATTCATAAATATATTAAGAGACTACTTTAAAAGTAGTACTTCATCAGGCCTTCTTCACTGATCATTTTGTTTCTCGTTCCATATGTTCTTTCATTATCCAATTCATTCTCATGGTTTCAACTACCTACTTTCCTCTGAAACCACAGAATCTAAATCCCAGTCTGCCTCCCTCCTGTGAAACAAATTTACATTAAGAACTTTCTGGTAGGCAGTACTATATTTTCCCATACTCAAATGCCTGTAAATGCAATATGTTTATCATTGAACTCCCTTTCCCCATCAAATCTGCTATCTCATCCCCATTCGGTAGCCTCATGAGTTACACTATCACCCATCTAAGTGCCCAAGACAGAGACCTGGGAGCTAACTGTGACCCTTCCTTTACTCTTACCCCACTTAGCCAACAGCAATTATCCAACTGTGTTAACTCTGCCTCCTTAATACCTCTCAAATAAGTCTTGTATATGACCATAGGACTCCATTTTCATTGCCTGGACAAAAGCCTTCTTTGTTTTTGACCTAGATAATAGCAATCACTTCCATTATTTGACTTTTAAAACTATTTTTAATACGTTGCCTGAATTATTTTTCCACGACTTGAGCCTAATCATATAGTTGTCTTCTCAAAAGACTTCACTGCTGCCAGGTTAGATCCAGACCTTAGCATGACAGGACAGCCCCTCGACCATCTGGCCTTGATTTGCCATCACCTGTGCATGAGGACGTGTGCCCACCACTTTTTCGGCTACCTGGCCTGCCCTTTTCTACTCTACTGCTGATTAAATAATTTTAATATACTCCCAGAAGGTAGCAACACTTTAATATACTCCCAGAAGGTAGCAACACTTTCCCCAGGGAAAATGGAAAGTTGATATCATAATGTATGTCATAAGAGCTTCGTAAATGCAAAAGCACCATGGAAATATGTTTAATTTTACTAAAACTTTTTGAGAAGATTAAGTCAGAATTGCCCATAGTTAAGCATCTGCTAATAGGTTTGTTTAGAATCAGGTGACACTCTTTGAGGTCTAGGTCCTATGTTTCATAGCATGACTAATATAAACAACCAACAGTTCAAATCTCCTTAGTCCATGAAGCCAGAGGTCAGCATTCACCTCAGATATATGAAACAGAATGAAAATTCCCCAAAGGCCTGATCTCAGTTCCAGGACACGGGTAGCAATAAGATTTTCAAAACTAAATGAACTGCAAAAGGATTCTGTATTTGTTCAGCTTTGAAAACACTTTTCAGAACTTCTGGGAATCCTAACACAATCTTCACAGATCAGTCAACAGTTCAGATTTCTAAAACTTTCCTTTCTCTTTTATTTTGGGAGAGAAATTAATGTTACAAAGTGTATGTATTCGTTTGTACACACCCTTTTTATCATTAATTTCCCTCCAACTGAATTTTTTTTTTTTTTTAATCCTCACCCGAGGACATTTTTCCATTTTTTGCACAGATAGAGTGGGAGGGAGAGAAGGAAACATCAACGTGAAAGGGACACATCGAGTGGCTGCCACCCACACGACCAACCAAGGCCGGGGACAAACTGCAACCGAGGTACATGCCCTTAGCCAAGGCCGGGGACAGACTGCAACTGAGGTACATGCCCTTAGCGGGAACCGAACCCGGGTCTCTCCAGACCGCAGGCGGACGCTCTAACCGCTGAGCCAAACCGGCCAGGGCCCTCCAACTGAATTTAAACCCTATTCCAGAATTCTTTTTAAGAGTTGTTTGTTGTTTTTTTATCCTTGCCCAAGGACATTTTTCCATTTTTTGTTCAGACAGAGTGGGAGGGAGAGAGAGGAAGAGAGAGAGAGACAGAGACAGAGACAGAGACAGAGACAGAGACAGAGACAGAGACATGAAAGGGACACATTGAGTGGCTGCCTCCCGCATGACCCAACCAGGGCCGCGGACAAACTGCAACCGAGGTACGTGCCCCTAGCAGGAACCAAACCCAGGCCTCTCTGGACGACAGGCCGACACTCTAACCACTGAGCCAAACCGGCCAGGACAAGAATTCTTTTTAGAGGCAAGTTAAAATGGTTATGGGGAGCTGAACCATGGAGAACCAAGTGGATTTGAGCCATGGGGTTGGGGGACTGTTTAGAAAAGACCAGATAAAGCAGTTGAAATATTTGCAGAGGCAGCTTTCTTATCGCTTTAAGATATAAAATAATCCAAAATAGTTTCAAGGTATTTTTTCCATAATATTATTTCTTTTTTAAAAAATATGTTTTGCTTTATTGGTTTTTAAAGAGACAGGATGGGAGAAGGAGAGATAGAAACATCAATGAGAGAAAAACATTTATTAGCTGCCTCCTACACACCCCCTACTGGGGATTGAGCCGGCAATCTAGGTGTGTGCCCTGACTGGGAATTAAACCAGGGACCTCTTGGTGCTTGGGATGATGCTAAACCAACTGAGCCACACTAGTCAGGCCTTAATATTATTTCTATGAACTTTTAATGTGTTTTTTAGAACTGAAAAACTTATTAGGTCTGTTTGGATATGTCAAACAAGAGAGGAATTATGTTGTTATATTTATTAAAATATGATCCCTTCAAAAGTTAATATCAAAAGTAATTAAAAAATTCACCCATGATATTCCTGGATTAGTTTTAAGTACATAGTAAAATAAGTTCAAACTGTACTAGAAATAGTAAAGCCATTTTACAGCAACATAAATGTACTGAACTTGCCTCTTCTTAAATTGATGTTTACGGTTCTTCCCCAAAGGAATGTTTATCTATTCCATTGCTCTGGGAATCTGACATAAATCTAGTTTTAAATGTGAGAAATGATTAATTTGAATAAAATATTTGTAGACATAACCTTAATCAGCTCTTCTTAAGCAAACTATTCATGTTGCTCAACAAGAATTGAGGGCCAGCAGACAAAAAGGTGGAATTGTATTAGGTGCAATAAATGTTTTGATAATGATGATCTAAATAAACTGGCATTAAAAATGAGATCTCATTATTCCATAGGCCTTGGTTTCATCCTGGAAGTTATCTAGTGACATTTACTGGGGCTGCCTATAGAATACCACATAAATCCCAATGGAAAACAATATTGATTATAACATAGTCTACATTTTCCCAACTAGAAGAGCCCCTTATAAAAAGTTGTGTGTCCCATTTGAATTAAGTGAAATAAACAAAAATTTACTTATAACATGTATTAATTTAAACAGAATATTTAACACAATAGTAATTGGTGAGTATCACTTTTTCCCACCTTGACATTTCATCAAATGATTTTATTTAAATCAGCATATTTGATGTCAGTGCCCTTATCATTACCAATTAAACTTTTTGAGACATCTAACACTGTTGCCCAAAATACATGTTTTCATTTCCATCTAAGTTGTTAGACAGGAAGCCTTTGGAACAGGAAATGCCATCACTGGAAATTCCAGATCAAGCCATACTGATCTTTGCATAATATTAAGACACTATAAATAAATTAGTTCAGTAGATTTTATTAGACATTTCTACAATGTTACTGTGTTCTGTGACATGGAACATACACCCAAGAGAATACATGTGACACAATACATCCAGGGATAATTGTTGTTTCAATGCCAATATTTCTGCTCTTATTTTTACTGATTTAACCAGATGACCTCTTGTATTAAGCATTAGTTGGGGATATTTCATGATACTGTACTTTTCTCCAACAGTACTTTATTTTTTTCAAATAAAATAATTGAAACAATGTCTATAATGAGAAACTTTACAAACACTTGAATATAATACAAACATTTTTTGAGTGATGATGTTGCCAAAAATTTTATATTTGGACATATAAATAAGTAATTTACTAAATGATAAAAATAGTTATAAATATAGTTTCCTTGACAACATATAAATTTATATTTTTATATCAGTGTTGAATAATTAAATTGACTATTCTCTTTTTGTTTTTCTACCAAACTGAATTCTAAACAGCCTTTCTATCCAGGTCTAGTCCTGCTATTCTTCATAAAGATTCTCTATTTCAGCCTATAGTGAGCTCTCCCTTCTGAGAATTCCCACACAATTTCCTGTATATATTAATAATTTATAACTTATACTGTTCTGTATTTTTTGCCAATTCTTTCATGCTAAGTTTAATTTCTCCACTTTGTTGATTTGATTGATACCTTATCTCACACTACTTTTTTTATCCTGTACACCACTTACTATACTGTTTTTCATAGCAGAATTACTCAATAAGTGTTCATTGATTATGACCTATATTTAGTCACTTTCAGAAATAAACATCTTTGATTGACTTGTGTGCAAATGGCTACACAGATTAATCAAGGCCATCCAGATCTATTTTACAGAAAACCAACTGATGCTTGAATGAAATCGATGGAATACTTACTCAGACATAAATAAGCTCCTGCATTTGCACTGCTGTAAAAATGGCAGAATAAGGTACCAAAAAGTATCTAATGTTTAATACTGAATGAGAAATCACAGCACTTTCTCTCTCATTTCTATCAAAAGTAAGG